CCTCACATTTAAACGAATGGGTGGGAGCATGGGATTTTTTTTTTTGTAATGAGGCCACTGTTACCCTTGAAGTCCACTTCTAGGCTAAACGCATCTTTTAAAATACCCCTAGGTATACTCCACCTCTATCAGAAACTGCCCCCTCGCAGTACCTCCTCTTCTCCAGATTTGGGCTTTAAAACCAAAAACTGGAACAAAAGATCTACCCAGTATGAAGCAATTTAGGCATCACACATGGGCATTGCTTGAATTTTTTGCTTGCAAACTTTAAGGCATTCATCGTGGCGGCTGCATCATCCCTTCCTTTTCTGCCTGAAGAATCCCATACACCTTACGATTATCGGCCGATTTTCGTATGCAATTGCGTTTGTCCGATATTCGCAAGATTGATGGGCATTGTACAACCGATCGACTTGACTATCCAGCAGGTTAGAAAACTTCGGTCGATTGTATGATTTTCGCAAGGTTGGTGGCGTTTCCAAACGTCAAAATTCGTACGATTTACACTGCTCATGCGCAAACGAAAATGTGTGCGGCCGATTACCGCAATTCGTCCAGGTGTTTCTTTTTAAAACTATAGCTGATTGAACCTTGGGATAATTGGGGCAGGGTGGGGCTGCCGTATGAAAATCGCACGACGATTCGATCGGACCAAAATTTAATCCGAAGATCGCAAGGTGTATGGGCAGCTTACTCAACACAATGCAAGCACAAGGCAAAGCCCACCAGTACGAAGGGCACGTTAAAAAAAACCAAACTTACTTCAACGGTTTCTACTGTCCATTCTTGCACTTGTTCCTTCTCTCCGCTGCTGAACTGGGTCTCTGCCATAAACTGTCTGTTCACAAACTGCAGAATGGAAGCGTCAGTTAATTGCCATCCTACTGCAGAGGTTAAAGTTGCTATGCCAAACCATGACGGCAGTAAGCAGCATTTGGTAGCCGTACATAAGCCGACTCAGAAGAATAAAGTAGACGTAGACTGCCGTTGCAAATGCGGGTCAAGAAGCTAGCAGCGATTTGATAGGAAACCTCAGTAAAAGCATGTATTATCCATAAAAAGGTTTGTTGTAATACATGAAAAATGTTAATCTGCGCTTATAGATAATAAATTAGTAATATGGGAAATTATATTTGTTGTAGTACAGTCTATAAAATGACAACTAGAGATGTGTGTTGATACCGCTCTCGTTGCGGCTGGCATGAAGCAGAGTAGGGGAGACTCCACTGCATTACAAATGCAGAACTTCCCCCTGGGTTCAGACCTGTTTGGCTAGACTATGCTGCCGAGAGGCCATCACATTCAGGTTTTTACAATTTTTTTTTTTTTTTTACCATGTGCCTGACAGTTGAGAATGAAGGAAATTATAAAACAGCCCAACCCCACCAACAAATGGCATTTCCTGAAATCTACTGGGTTTGTTTTATGCCCAGCTTAGCTAGTACTTGTTTATCAGAATTCATAATGAAATGTGCATTATGGTGCAAAATAAAGTGTACCAGAAAGGAATGCAGAGTATTGTATCATTTCAGAAATCTATATTTATTAGATCAGATGCCAATACATTATTGCCCTCAGCTTTAAAAAGCAAAAAATGACTGCAAAGCACACATTTCTTCCAAAGTAAGCTGCTGCATAAAGCAATCTCTCCTCGGAGTGCTGATCACACCGGATGAAGTGTAATGCACTATGAGTCAGCACAGGCAGGCCTCTCCAGAACCCCAGCAGGATCCTGAGTTCTACTGAAGGGCCTTACCTCGGTGGACTCCACTTCACTGGGCTCAGCATATTCTTCCACAGGTTCGGGTTCTAGAAATGAAACAAGATGTACCAATTACATAAATAGCCAATCGTGATATGCCAAAAACTTTAATTCCTTTAAAAAGACTGTTCCTACACAGAATCCCCAACAGCTGTCCCCTGTACAAGAGCAGGATAGGCAGAGCCAGCTGTCAATCCCGCACAATACTGTCGGGATCCGTCCCGGCGTCTCAGTATACCGCGAGCTGAGCTTTGGGTCACGGGAGGACGCTAGTTTGTGTCCTCCCGTAAACCTTAGGAGAACTATGGGGAAAATGTCAGACAGAGGCTTCTGGGCCATCCAAATCTTAGCCCCCCACCCCCCCAAACTTAATTTTATCGTTGTGGTTTGGCAGCACGTAGAAAGCCCTCATAAGATTGGGACTGAAAGCTGCTGCAAACTGACGGCAGGCGTTGTGTGCAGTGGCTTCTAGTGCAGGCAGTTGGGTTTTACCAACAGCATCTGCTGAAACTAGGTGCACGGAGATGACATTTTGAAACCAAAAATAAAACCAAAAATTTTTTTACAAAAATTGTCAGGCCGAAAACGATTTTCTAACCTTTGTAACATTTAATTATTAATAATTGTAATGTTTTTAAAACTTTACTGTTGGGGGCTTCTGTGACATATCAGGGGTCTAAATAGACCCCTGATATTTCACGGTTAAAACAAAAAAAAAAAAAAAAAAGGGGATTGAGGACACAGTGACAGAGTTCACAATCTCTTTTTCTGTAGCCTGTTATAAAAAACGAACAGGAAGACTCTATACTGAGAGTGTTCCTGTTCATTCATAACTTGGACATAGTATGTCTACTATACCTACAATCAATGTTTAGTGTGTCCCCAATTATGAATGAACAGGAATGAACAGGAAGCTGTAGCGTACTTCCTGTTCATTCATAATTGGGGACAAAGTAAACATACCATGTTCTCTATTTATAGGCAGGTCAGCGATCAGCTGATTGCCGACTGCTTGTACCTGCTCTCAATCACAGGAGGCTAAGCAGGCCGACTCCTCCCCGCACCACAGCCTCCTGTGACAGCTGTCTCCGCCTCCACACCGCTCTCCATCCTGATCAGTCACAGGAGACTAAGCATGCGGTCTGGGAGGAGAGCTCAGCCTTATGTGACATTGTGGCTCACAGCACTCTCCTCCCTGCCCAGCTTGGCTGGCTTATGGCTCTCTCCTCCTCGCAGAAGACTGCGCTGTGTCGGAGGGGACATAGCAGCGCTAAGAGAGGAGGAAACTAGGAATGCACCACAATTTCTGCCGAAATATGGTACTTCTAGCACTTTGACAAAGTGCCATTTTTAGTGCATCCCTAGCTGAACCACGACCACCAGCTAAACACTTTCTATATGAAACAAAAACAATCACATACGTGGACTGCACAGAAATAGACCTGCACTCTTTCAATGAAACAGAACGCGCCACAAAATATAAACCGTATAGCAAAATGAGGTGTAAATGCAACTGGCTTTTTAGGAATGGTGGCTGGCCCTACAACGAAATACATATCAAAGCATGACTCTGCAGCAAGGTTGGGAGAGACGTAAAGGCATCAACACAAGTCATTACCAAGCTCAGGTGCTTGTTCTTCTGCCGGCGGCGCTGCAAGGGGTTCCTCCTCTTCACACAATCCATTCTGGTGATTCTTTGTATTGTCAAAATACCCACTCTGGAGGATGCGATCCAGTATTTCCCGCAAGGTTTTGTCTACAAAAATCAGAAGAGTTTTAAAGGCATGCTAACCTCCAGGACATTGCCGCTTTGCTAGTCTAGTACAGGGCAATGTATAGAAGGCTTGGGGTTTTTTTTTTAGCATTTGTGTTCAGACTCCCATCATCATATTAACTACAAGAGCAGAACCCACCAGTGCCAAATACTCAATCACAGTGTTGTGTACACTGCCAACAGGCTCAGTTCAAAGTGATCACCAGGCGAAGGGTCCTTATTTTTGAAACGTGTGACAGTTTAAGGGGGTATCCAATGAGATTTGAAGATTACAGTCACATGGTTCAAGATCCTTAGCCTAAATCTTTGTGAATGCATCATAATGGCCCAAGAACTCACACAACCTCAGTGTGCAAATACAATCAATCATTCTAAGAGCCAGCTTAAAGGCCTGCGTCAGACTATTGTTCCTGCCAGAAGGGCTTTTCTTCCCATACAAGGGATCAAATTCACCTGTAAATTCAGAAACCTCTCAAAGCAAAAAAGCATGCCGCATTTGCCCATTGACAAACCCAAAGCCCAGCAACACAGGTCCTAATGCAGACACACCTACTTTCCTTCAGGTTGCCAACGTAGCTTGACACAGGCTGGCGGCTGTAAACACTGTATATCAGCTACAAAAGGCAGAGCGACGCCTCCCATTTGTAAAAATACTAACAGGTCCCTTATACTAACAGGTCCCTTATACTAACAGGTCCCTTATACTAACAGGTCCCTTATACTAACAGGTCCCTTATACTAACAGGTCCCTTATACTAACAGGTCCCTTTTTTTGCACACCATCAGATTGTCACAACGGATTTTCAAGAGGGAATTCACCCTAATAGCAAGCATGGCAATCGTCAGTCTCTTACTGACTTCGAGCCGCCACATGCCTCGGTTTGCACGTCTGACGGTTCTGACGAAGGGGGCGTGCCCTTGAAACGTGTAAACCGAGGAATATAGTGGCTTGAGAAGTCAGGAAGAGAGACTAACGATTGCCGTGCCTGCTATTACGGTAAATTGCCACTTGAAAATCTGTTGTGCAATCTGATGGTGCGCGTTCTTCCACATACACTTAGTAGAATTTTATAGTCTTTGTAGCCATCAATAAAATGATTTTACACATGGAGGCGGCGCTCTGCCTTTTGTTCTTTTGCATGTGCTGAAGGGAATCTGATATCTGATGAGCAGCCCGAGTTAATAAGGATCAAGATTCGGCAGGAAATGGTCTGAAGTATTTAGCGCCGAGATTGTCAATTTCTGCACGCTGTAGATTAGCTGCCCAAGACAGAGCAGATGTTGTGCGGGGTTTGGGGGGAGATGTCATTATAAAGGCACCCCAATGCAAGCACTGATAAGTCTGTCTGGCCTGACTGGTTTGAAAAAAACTGCAAGCTTCACCTCCTAGTCTGCAGCTGTACAGGGGATTACAAGAAGCGGATACCAAGTGAAGTGAAGATGCTTACACTAACTGCATTTAGCTTATTTTTTAATGAATACAAAGCTGAATGACTTGTCTGCCTGAAGTTCAACTGTAAACTGCAAAGCTTTTTAAGTTTGTGTGGGGAAGGGTTGGACCTTCTGTCACGTTTCTTTTGCTGTACGTCCTGGTTAGGGAGAGTCAGCCCCCCATTTGTTCTGGTGCCCATTGACACTGAGACAAAAAGACGAGGTAAACCTAAAAGTTGAGAGGTCACCAGAGCAAGAGGCAAACTTAAATCATTTAATGTTGACATAAGTTGTTGGGACAAAAAAACTTTGATGGGATTTCCCCTCAATTTAGAGGATGTCCTCAATTCCTGCTGTGCCACCAGATGTGAAAGACAATCTCCCCCAGCGGGAGATAAAGACAGCAACCAAAAAAAAAAGAACCCAAACAAGGTTTTACCATTTTTCTACTCTATTACTCCATCCAAAAATTAATGAAAAAAGTTTTGGCTGCACAAACACGTGTACAAAGTCTCATACTGAGAGGACAATACTAGAGAGGTCGTTTAGGGAGAATAAAACAATTTGGTTTTATTCTCCAAAATTTTAATTGTAACAAAGCAGGTTTTACTTTCTCATCTGATTTCTAGAAAGAGGGGACACTATGTGCATCAGCAACAATAATGCTGAGGGAGCAGAGACTGGCATAGAGCCCGGGTCAATGCTGACTAAGGAGGTGCCAGAAAAGGGAGAGCTGCCCAACTGCAGACAGCTGGCCCCATAACTATTCTATGGATAGCACTTTAATGATTAAAGCTGCAGTGAAGCAAATACACAAGTCAGCTCAGCGACATGGGTAGTTTCAGGGGAAAGTAAACTAGATGCAAAGCAAAAAAAAAAAAAACACTACTAAAGTCACAAAAAGGCTTACATGTGGTTCCGCAAACTGACTTGTCTTTTCCTTCCAAGACATCCCAGAGGTGGGTGGAGGCCTGTTCCTTCTGATCACTTAACCTGCAAGAACAATGCAAATTGGGTTTTCTAAGCTTGAAAGCTATGACATACTGCTAACTCATTCAGGGGCATCACATGAGCCAAGCTAGTAAAAATTTACATATCCACTAAACGACCCGATAGTGGCAACCAATGGCTGAGCACATCAAGTTGCTCAACTGCCAATTACATCAAGTTGCTCAACTGCCAATTATACAAGGTAAGCAGGCAGAAGTGGGAAACAGATGGCTGTTAAAGTGACACTAACCTCAGGAGCTCCACCTTAAAAATGCATTCAAGTACCTTCATCATTAATAACAATGCATCTTATTTGTGTATCACTCGGCTGTAGATCCTTAAATCATCTCTGAATTGGTGCCGACACTGTCCTTCCTTCTGGAGGGGGGGCTACTTTTGTTCCCCATGGTCCCTGTGTGTGTTGTAATGTACTCACTATGCCATGCTTGCTCCCGTGATGGACTACAATCTCACATTTAGTTTAATCATTTATATTGAGATTGTAGTTCATCACGGGAGCGAGCTTGGCATAGTGAGTACATTAAACACACACAGGGACCATGGGAACAAAAGTAGCCCCCCCTCCAGAAGGAAGGACAGTGTCAGCACCAATTCAGAGATGATTAGAGGATCTACAGCCGAGTGATACACAAATAAGATATGTTTTTCTTCATAGTTGAGGTCCCCGAATGTATTTTAAAGGTTAACTCCTGAGGTTAGAGTCACTGTAATATACACAGAATTGATGATCCATAAGGTCAGCTGGGTGGAATAAGTCTCCATTCCGTTCATTCAGTGTCTGACTTTACTTGTGCTCATACCTGGGGAGGCAGTATTAAAAAAAAAAAAAACCACCACAATTGGGACAAACCCTTAGGGCTTGTTCACACCATTTTCTCGTCCAGATCTGCAGACGCGGTTGTACGCATGCAGTGCGTTTACCATGTTTGGAGTGGGGCTGTCAGTATGTTAGCCGCGGTGCGTTTTGACACGTTTGTGCATTTCCAGACGGAGAAAATGTGACATGCGGTATTTTTTCTGTCCGGAGCGGAACGGACTGCACTGGTGAGAACTGTAGCCCATAAAACACATTGGGATGCATTTTGGGTGCAGGAGCGCACAGTTCTGGTCCGGACATAACCCGGACATCGTGTGAACAAGCCCTAAAAAACACTGTACCAAATGCAGTTATCCAATGTTGTTTTAGCCATATGTTTCCCTAAAACATGCCTGCTGTTTCTCATATTGATGGGTATGAATTTACAATAAAAATAGAGAGACTTCATACCTTACAGATGGATCCCGTTCAGGGTCAACCAGTTTATAAAACTCATCCAACAGCGTAAGCTCTTCTTCCGAGACCACAGGAATGCCGTTTAAACCTTGTTTCATGTCACTGCGTATTTCTTCGTCACCAAGCTTATCCAAAACGAACTGCAGCTCTAGCACCGTTTTTAAACGTTTCTGTTCGGCTTCTTCACGCATGAGCTGCTCTCGGCGAGCTGCCTTTCTGATGGTCTTTTGGATCTGAAAATAGAGTAAGAGTCTAAAATTAAGAGCTCAAATCAAGTCACTTTAACCACTTCAAGACCAGGTGTTTAGACCCCCTTCCTGGCCAGGCCATTTTTCAGTATTCAGCGCTGCGGTACTTTGACTGACGTTTATTCCGTCATGCAACGCTGTACTGAAATGAATTTTATACCATTTTTTGGGGACAGATAGAGCTTTATTTCGGTGGTATTTAATCACCACTGGGGTTTTTATTTTTTACTATAATTAGGAAAAATTACAGAAAATTTGGGGAAAAAAAAGTTTTTTTTAACATTATGTTAGGAAACATTTATTACCCAGTTTTTTGGTAACATATAAAAGATCGGGTCACGTCGGGTAAATAGACACCAAACATGTCAAGCTTTAAAATTGCGCGCACCCGCGAAATCGCAGAAAATTACCGTACCCAAAATTGGCCATGGGCGACGCTTTAAAAGCTTTTACCGCTCATCAGTTTAGTGTTATCAGTGATTGATGGCCCTAGAATTATTGCTCTCACTCCGACGTTCGCGGCGATATGTAACATGTGCGGCGTAATGGGCGCAATCGTCTTTTTTGCACGTATGCGCCCCCGACGCATGTTTGCATACGTGTATGTATGGGTGGGGACTTAAACATTTTTTTTTTGTTTTTTTATTCTTTTTTATGGTGTAACTTTAAATTTGGGGGGGGGACTTAATTTTTTTTTCCCACTAAACTTTATTGCTATCACATACGGGGGCTAATAAAAACCCCTCTATGTGATAGCAAAATATGTGACAGGTCCTCTTTATGGAGACATCAGGGGTCTCCAAGACCCCTAATGTCACCTAGGACCCCCCAAAAGAAGCTGATGAAGCAGAGATCTGCTCCATCAGCTTCTTTGCAGCTTCTGAAGCTGGAGAGTGACACAAGAATGCGGAAGTGATGTATTATACAACACTTCCGCATTCTTGCAGAGGAGAGGGGACCGGAGGGAGCTCGTGTACCGAGCTCTCTCTGATCCCCTGTGTCACAAGCGACATGCTGATCCCGGGCTCGCACCGGGCACAGCGGAGCCCGGGATCAGCGGTACAACGGCGGGGGGGGCCGCGGATGGGGGGGGACGGGACCGATCGGCACCCCATACACGCGATCCGCCGGCTCTACAGCCGGCGGATCGCTTGTATGGTGACAGGCATCGCTGCCTGTTTTTAAAAAACGGCCATTTCCCGCTCGCGCGCGCCGAGCGGCGCGCGCGGGGGGGCGTGTCTGAGCGGACGTCTAAAGACGCCCGCTCAGATCTAGAGAGCTCGGGCCGGTCGTTTTTTTACTACGGCCGGCCCGGAGGTGGTTAAACCTGTTCAGGAAAGGAAAAGAGTGTTGTCAAGGTGCAGAAAAATAAATGATGGAACATGCCTTCTGCCACATTTTACTTTATTCAAGGTCATTAAAGTGCCACTAAAGGAGTTAAATCTTTAAAAAAAAAAAAACAGACACAAAAACAAAACTCAACATAAACTATTAACAATAATGTATCTTATTTGTGTATCACTCGGCTGTAGACCCTCAAATCATCTCTGAATTGGTGCTGACACTGTCCTTCCTTCTGCAAGGTGGCTTCTTTTGTTTCCCATGGTCCCTGTGTGTGTTGTAAAGTAGTCACCGCTCCAAGCTCACTCCTGTGATGGACTACAATCTCATGTTTAGTTTACTTATTTGTATTGAGATTGTAGTCCATCACAGGAGTGAGCTTGGAGCGGTGACTACTTTACAACACACACAGGGACCATGGGAAACAAAAGGAGCCACCTTGCAGAAGGAAGGACAGTGTCAGCACCAATTCAGAGATGATTTGAGGGTCTACAGCCGAGTGATACACAAATAAGTACATTATTGTTAATAGTTAAGATACTTTAATGTTTTGTTTTTTTATGATTTAACTCCTGAGTTTAGCGTCACGTAAGGCTAGGTTCACACCTAGGCGATTCAGATGCCGAGCGGTTGTCTCGCGTTTTTCAATGCATAGAGATTTCTACGTTACCCAAACTGCGCGACAACTGCCCAAAAATAGCACCTTCACCTTTTCGCATGACAGGCTATTTCGGTCGCGTGACAAACTGCAAAAAGGTGTGAGCAGCCTTCAATGTGAATCTGTGTTTTGCGCGATAAACCGCCTAGGTGTGCACTGGCCCTTAAGAAGACAGAAGCAGGATAAGTATAGATCTCAGCAAGGAGGACGCAGCACAGGTCACATTCAGCATAATGTGAAAACCTTCCACATTATAAACAGTAGAGGATACACAAAGAAGGTATAAAAACACATCTTACATCCTGGCCCAAGGCCATGAAACTTTTCTGCAGTTCTCGAGCAAACTCCATGTTGGTTACAACCTCCTGATGTTTCGCCACCGCATCCTAAAAACAAAAAGGAAGCTCATATGAATGTAAAGGCCGTTTATATTTTGTATATTGCTAGACGTGAAGCTGTGACAGCACCTTATACACATTTTTCACAAATCATACAAGTCCTTTATATTTAGACATCTGTGATACAATTTTGTGCAGATTTTGGCCTGGTCAGGCTTGAGAACAAAATGTACTCAATTATCCATATCAGAGAGGCACTAAAAAGACTGCAGAAGAAATAAAGAGTACCAGTTGGTCCTGATTCAGTCGCTCTCCTTTGTTCATTCTGTCCTGGTAGTCGTCCAACTTGCCCTGCAAAAGAACATCCAGAATTTACATGAAACAAGGCAAATACTAAGATTATGACTGAGTAGGCCTCCAAAGCAAAAAGATATGGAAGGCCATCAAGCCCCACCCCAAATAAAATAAAAATGGCCCCCTTCGCTCCAGCTCCGGTCATTTTAAATCGCCATATTCTATACACTGGGGGGAATTTATCAATTATGGAGCAGACAAAATCTGGAGCAGTTGCCCATAGTAACCAGTTTGCTCAGTTAAGCTTTGAAATTAAAGACAGAAGCCGATTGGTTGCCATGCACAGCTGTTCCAGTTTGATAGATTCCCCTCACAGTGTATAGGACATGAGGATGCCAAGGGATATACCATCACTGGACCGGAGGAAGGGACTGGCTTGAGGGACCGGTCTTAGCCCTCGTTCACACCTGAACGTTTTGTAGCGCGTTCTACGCTCGACGAACGCTCTACAAAACGCTCAAAAATATAAAATCCCATTGTATTCAATGGTCTCGTTCCCACCTTGGCGTATTTCCACCCGTCCCTAACGCGCTACAAAACGGCCCACGCCTGAAAAGGTACAGGTACTACTTTGGGCCGTGACAGACGCGCATATGCAATACGCCTAGGTGTGAACGAGACCTAACAGTCAGCCGGCTGTGAAGCTCAAACGAGTATAACTGATAAATGAAAACGAGCCCCACGGCAAGGGTTCAGATCATTTTTGGCCGGAGCTCTTTAATAACTGAATGGTAAAAGTACCTGTGTGCGGCTTTCATGCACTTAAAGTTTATTCTTGAGGAGGATCCCTAGAAGTGCCAGTTTCCTCAGTGCTCTGTAAAGGTCTCTGCTTGACCCCAAATGAATGTAAAAGCGCAGTTCCTGGAGTAGATTTGGCAGAGCAGGTTGAGAGACCTTTGTTTGAATAAAAGAACAGCGACTGCATCTGATTGGAGGCAGTCGCTGTCCGGTTGACAAATTTCCAATTTGCTTTTGTGGAGCAGGGTGGCCACCCACAGCTTGAATTTCAAGGGGCGTATGGCCTTGCAATCAGCAACAGCAGCATTGTTAGCTGCATACACTCTTTCACTTGGCTACCGGGCAGCTTATTATGTCGAACGGATAGGCAGCCCAACAGCCAGCAAAAGAGCTTCCCCTTCATTACCTACCCCGATAGGGGAAGCAAGGAGAAATCTCCCTGAAGCAAGGAGAAATCTCCTGTTAGACAGCTGCCACCAAAACAAAGTGCGCCCACTGGGAGACTTGACCAAAGGTGCAGAAAAATAAATGATGGAACATGCCTTCTGCCACATTTTACTTTATTCAAGGTCATTAAAGTGCCACTAAAGGAGTTAAATCTTTAAAAAAAAAAAAACAGACACAAAAACAAAACTCAACATAAACTATTAACAATAATGTATCTTATTTGTGTATCACTCGGCTGTAGATCCTCAAATCATCTGATTGGTGCTGACACTGTCCTTCCTTCTGCAAGGTGGCTACTTTTGTTCCTCATGGTCCCTGTGTGTGTTGTAAAGTAGTCACCGCTCCAAGCTCACTCCTGTGATGGACTACAATCTCATGTTTAGTTTACTTATTTGTATTGAGATTGTAGTCCATCACGGGAACGAGCTTGGAGCGGTGACTACTTTACAACACACACAGGGACCATGGGAAACAAAAGTAGCCACCTTGCAGAAGGAAGGACAGTGTCAGCACCAATTCAGAGATGATTTGAGGGTCTACAGCCGAGTGATACACAAATAAGTACATTATTGTTAATAGTTAAGATACTTTAATGTTTTGTTTTTTTATGATTTAACTCCTGAGTTTAGCGTCACGTAAGGCTAGGTTCACACCTAGGCGATTCAGATGCCGAGCGGTTGTCTCGCGTTTTTCAATGCATAGAGATTTCTACGTTACCCAAACTGCGCGACAACTGCCCAAAAATAGCACCTTCACCTTTTCGCATGACAGGCTATTTCGGTCGCGTGACAAACTGCAAAAAGGTGTGAGCAGCCTTCAATGTGAATCTGTGTTTTGCGCGATAAACCGCCTAGGTGTGCACTGGCCCTTAAGAAGACAGAAGCAGGATAAGTATAGATCTCAGCAAGGAGGACGCAGCACAGGTCACATTCAGCATAATGTGAAAACCTTCCACATTATAAACAGTAGAGGATACACAAAGAAGGTATAAAAACACATCTTACATCCTGGCCCAAGGCCATGAAACTTTTCTGCAGTTCTCGAGCAAACTCCATGTTGGTTACAACCTCCTGATGTTTCGCCACCGCATCCTAAAAACAAAAAGGAAGCTCATATGAATGTAAAGGCCGTTTATATTTTGTATATTGCTAGACGTGAAGCTGTGACAGCACCTTATACACATTTTTCACAAATCATACAAGTCCTTTATATTTAGACATCTGTGATACAATTTTGTGCAGATTTTGGCCTGGTCAGGCTTGAGAACAAAATGTACTCAATTATCCATATCAGAGAGGCACTAAAAAGACTGCAGAAGAAATAAAGAGTACCAGTTGGTCCTGATTCAGTCGCTCTCCTTTGTTCATTCTGTCCTGGTAGTCGTCCAACTTGCCCTGCAAAAGAACATCCAGAATTTACATGAAACAAGGCAAATACTAAGATTATGACTGAGTAGGCCTCCAAAGCAAAAAGATATGGAAGGCCATCAAGCCCCACCCCAAATAAAATAAAAATGGCCCCCTTCGCTCCAGCTCCGGTCATTTTAAATCGCCATATTCTATACACTGGGGGGAATTTATCAATTATGGAGCAGACAAAATCTGGAGCAGTTGCCCATAGTAACCAGTTTGCTCAGTTAAGCTTTGAAATTAAAGACAGAAGCCGATTGGTTGCCATGCACAGCTGTTCCAGTTTGATAGATTCCCCTCACAGTGTATAGGACATGAGGATGCCAAGGGATATACCATCACTGGACCGGAGGAAGGGACTGGCTTGAGGGACCGGTCTTAGCCCTCGTTCACACCTGAACGTTTTGTAGCGCGTTCTACGCTCGACGAACGCTCTACAAAACGCTCAAAAATATAAAATCCCATTGTATTCAATGGTCTCGTTCCCACCTTGGCGTATTTCCACCCGTCCCTAACGCGCTACAAAACGGCCCACGCCTGAAAAGGTACAGGTACTACTTTGGGCCGTGACAGACGCGCATATGCAATACGCCTAGGTGTGAACGAGACCTAACAGTCAGCCGGCTGTGAAGCTCAAACGAGTATAACTGATAAATGAAAACGAGCCCCACGGCAAGGGTTCAGATCATTTTTGGCCGGAGCTCTTTAATAACTGAATGGTAAAAGTACCTGTGTGCGGCTTTCATGCACTTAAAGTTTATTCTTGAGGAGGATCCCTAGAAGTGCCAGTTTCCTCAGTGCTCTGTAAAGGTCTCTGCTTGACCCCAAATGAATGTAAAAGCGCAGTTCCTGGAGTAGATTTGGCAGAGCAGGTTGAGAGACCTTTGTTTGAATAAAAGAACAGCGACTGCATCTGATTGGACGCAGTCGCTGTCCGGTTGACAAATTTCCAATTTGCTTTTGTGGAGCAGGGTGGCCACCCACAGCTTGAATTTCAAGGGGCGTATGGCCTTGCAATCAGCAACAGCAGCATTGTTAGCTGCATACACTCTTTCACTTGGCTACCGGGCAGCTTATTATGTCGAACGGATAGGCAGCCCAACAGCCAGCAAAAGAGCTTCCCCTTCATTACCTACCCCGATAGGGGAAGCAAGGAGAAATCTCCCTGAAGCAAGGAGAAATCTCCTGTTAGACAGCTGCCACCAAAACAAAGTGCGCCCACTGGGAGACTTGACCTACCCTGTTCTGATGACCGCTAAAACTGTACACAGGGTTATTCACAAAAGGGTGAAGGGTTTGGAGAAGGCCGGAGAAGGGACAATCTAGGACAAACATAGATAAACTGGAAAGTGAGCTGAATTGGAGAATTTTTCCAAAATCGGCTATGTTGTACTAGATCAGGGGGAAACAAACCTCCGGTCCTCCAGCTGTGGTGGAACTACAAATCCCATGAGGCATTGCCAGATTCTCACAGCCACGACTCCCGAAGAGAGATGCCTCATGGGATTTGTAGTTTCACCATAGCTGGAGGACCGGAGGTTTGTTACCCCTGTCCTATATTGTTCCCTTCTCCAGACTCTTCACCCTTCCCTAAAAACCTGACAGTTCTAATACCTCAACACTATCCCCCCCAAAAAAAGAAAAATACTTTAGACAAAAGTTCAGACTTTCTACACTTAATGGTTGATAAATTTGACGCAAACAATCATTTTATTAAAATCCAGCTACTCATTAAACTAAAAAGGGACCGTTCACAAGTACGGAGACATAAGACATACCAGGTAACGTTCCAAAACATTTCTAGAAGTGCCTTGTGGAGATATCCAAAGCTGTCTCAATATTGTCTCAAAGCCATCCAACGCTATTATTGCAGCTTTGACAAAAGAACTGTCAAGTATTTTTTAGGAATGCCCCGATATAAGTGCCGGCACGGAGCATTTGGACCAGTACTACCTTAACCCTGGTGACCATCATCGTGACAGGAAGAGACAGTTGCAGTGGTCACCAAGAGGAGATAGGAAATCATCCAAATGGGACAACTGTTCCTTAGACAACCCTCTGGAGGAAACCCTCCTCATTCTGTAGGGATCTCTATGGCAGGGAGTAAAGGAAAATCTCCCCAACCTCCTAAAAACTCACAGCAGAAACCCCACAGCCTTGGGGATTTCAAGCTGGCCATACAATGTACAATCTCTGTACAATTTACCAAAATGTGAACAACTTGAACCCAGTCAGACGGGCCCCTGCACTAAATAACTATGTACAGTAATACCTTGGTTTAAGAGCATAATTCGTTCCGGAAGCATGCTTGTAATCCAAAGCGCTTGTATATCAAAGCGAATTTCCCCATAGGAAATAATGGAAATTCAGATGATTCGTTCCACAACCCAAAAATATTCATATAAAAATGATTACAATACTGTACTGTAATATAATACTGTACAAAATATAAAGAAAAATAAACCAATTACCGGTACCTTTGTGGCCGGTGTGAGGGGGACAAGAGAGAGGGGGATTATTGTGCAGGATGACTTTCACCATCACTAACGGAATCACTGCTATCTCTTGACTCAATGGAATCTTTTTCATTTTGTGAAACCTTAACAAGGAATCTATTCAATGTGACATTGCATTGTCGTTAAACAGTCTCATCATCGCTCGTACTGCTACAGCCTTATTCGGGTGGTGCTTTTCTACAAAATGTTGCTCTTATTGCAAGACATTGCTTGTATATCAAGGCAAACTTTTTCAGAAATGTTTGCTTGTCTTGCAAAACACTCTCAAACCAAGTTACTTGTAAACCAAGGTATTACTGTAGGGAATTCATAAAGACTGGTTGCCAAAAGAAACCTGTGCTCCAATCAGCTTCCTTCTTCAGTTAAGTGTTGAAGATGAAACGAAGAAGCTGATTGGCTGCTCCGGGGGTTATGAACTCCCCCCTCCTATAAGTCAGATTGTATGACACATGGTCAGTATAAGGAAAGGTAAAGCTGGCCATATACTAGATGTACAATGTCATATAGATCCAGCAAGAGTTACATAGGGCAGAGGCCTGGCAGGCTGGAGATGAATGCAACTGCTTGTGGATGTTGGTCTGTATATGGGATAGTTTTGGTAGAATGTACACAGATTGTATGGACACAGATTGTATGGACATCACTGCAACTGAAGTTCGGCCTGTAGACACTTTCACCTCCTCTGCACTCATTCCGGATCCTGGCTTCATATACATAAACGCCCAAAACACCCGGATGTGGTTGATGTGAAAGCAACATTGTAACAGCCCTCCGGCGACATGTGGAAGTCACAGGCCGGAAGCCGTCTGTAATAGCCGCACACAATGACACTTCCCCCGCGACAATGAGAGGCGCTGTCCCAGCTGCGGCCCCTGCCTCCCCCCACCCCCGGCACTGAGAGACGACATGTTGGATGCGGCCTAGTCCATGTGCGCAGCCCAGAGCTCGCTTGAGACAAAAGATCCGGGAGAGAGCGGAGACACGTGCGGCAGCGCCCGAAACCGATCGCACGTCTGCTGCCCGGGCTCGGGATGTTTAATGCGGGGCCCCAGAGCCTCCTAATGTGGCCCCAGCGCACAACCGATATTACCTTACAGCATTATATCCCCCATACAGTGTCACTGATCATCACAGGACCTTTGTCCTTCCTGTGACGGACTACAAGTGCCAGCATAGCCAGAAGTCCCCCCC